GGGGTCGGGGTGTGGGCTTACTACTGTAGAGAAAACATACTCACCCGGACCCTGAGCCTTAGAGCTTAATGTAGACACTCCTGTGTTCCCTAAGCGTGTGTAGAGTATACATCTATCAATGGAATATACTGTCTAGGTTGAGCATTATCAGTGTTTCAGCTGCAGAATGTGATTCCTTTACCATTCAGTTACATACAAACATGCTTTTTGCTAGCAAAAAAACTACTTTTTTTAGTTAATATTCAAACTTTCTGAAACTTACATTAAAACCAAATGGATGATGCATACAAAAAAAACTAAAAACAAAACATACATCTTTATAAATGTCCAAATAGTTTTATACAGTTTTATAATGCCTCAAGAGAAAACTAATTTTTAGCCATGGTTGTCCATTACTAATGTGTGCTTTCTTCTCTATATCTAATGTGTTAGCTTATGCTCCATTATTGCATGCCTTTCTTTACCTGCTCAGCCACTTTTGATGTAATACCATGAATCCCCCCGTTGTGGGACTAATAAAGGAATTCTGATTGTGACAGATGCTCTATAGTGTAGGTATATACTGCATATTTGAAGGGTCTCTCAAGCAGTAAATCAAACAAACAAACGTTGCTTAATGTAGATACTCCTGTGTTCCCTTAGCGCAGTGTACTCTAAAGGCTAAGGCTTAGCGTAGTAGGTAGAGTAATATACTGTGTAAGTTGATATTTTATCAGTGTTTCAACTGCAGAATTGGAATTGTATTATCATTTACTTACATATAAACTTGGTTTGTGTTAGCAACTTTTGAAAAAACAACAACTTTCCTAGCATTACTTTTATAGTAAATATGTAAGCTTTCTGAATCTTACATTAAGACCCAATGGAACATGCTATATAGTGTAGGTTCATATATTTGAAGGATTTCTCAAGCATTTGCGGAGTAAATAAAACGGAGCAAACAAACTCAGCCTAAGGTGGATACTCCTGTCTATCAATATGCAAAAAACATGCGATATACTGTGTAAGTTGATCTATATCAGTGTTTCATGCAGAATGTCATTCTTTTGACTGTTTAGTTACATACAAACATGGTTCTTGTTAGCAAGAAAACAACAATTTTACTAGAATCAAACACATTTTCAGTTACTCTTCAAGCTTTGAAACCAACATTAAGAACCCATGGAACATTATTCATGGTGTGTGTGTGTGTATAATATATATATGTGTATAATATATATGTGTATAATATATATATCACACACACACACACACACACACACACACACACACACACACACACACACACACACACACACACACACACACACACACAGTATATTTAGAGGATTTCTCAAGCATTTGTGGAATTAATCAAACACAGCAAACAAACACACTTTCTCCAAGCCGTGTCAGTTTGCAGAGTGGAAAACATAATTTCTGACATTTCAAAACATAAACATCCAATTAAGCAATTAATCTTATTCGTACCATGGTGGAGGGAAATGTCCCTCAAGCTCACATTAACAGAAAAGAACACTTATTGACTTTTTACTCGGGATATGTTGGTTTTGGCTAAGTTTCTGGGTTTTCCTTTTTAAAAAACAACCTCTTTAAAAACGTCTTGTGCCAAGAAAAATGTAGTTGAGACGCTGTACAGTCGACCCCCTTCAGTCATCCAGCACACACAGATACAGAGAGGTCAGACAGAGCAAATACTCACTGGACTGGTTCCTCCGCATGTGTCCCTGAAAACACAAACAGACATTAATTAAGAAAAGACGCTGCAACACGCCATGACTTTCCAACTTTGACTTGCTTGGTTGGTTGGAAAGAAATCATAAAAAAAGTATAAATCTAAGAGAAATGGTCAAGCTGCATAGAAGAGGCCTCAAACAGGCTATATGTTCTTTACAAAGTGATACAAAGCCTTTTAATGGGACTTTTTCTCGCCTTTTTTACAACCTGTGCAACTTTTGGAAGCTCAAATTTCTAAAGTCGTTGTCAAACAATTTGAAACCTAAAGCCCTTAAGCCTTAATATATAAAGATGTCAAATATATAAAACAGTGTAAATAGTGGGAAAAAAGCTTTAAAAGGGTTGGAAACTGTATTATTAATTAGTCCCAGGGGCAAAAGGGAATTTTCCACTTCAGAGTTAAAGACAGTAAATCTCAGGGCTGCTCTCGCCTCACACATACCAGGCGTTAAACCTAGGGTGCAATATTCAGCAGCGCAAAACTTTGCATTTAAGCCCATCTGACGATCACTGAGGGAAAACAGAGAGCGTGCCCCCAACACTTCACCAATTTCCGTTACACAGCGGACATAAATCTGCTGTGTCATGCTGCGTAACACAAGATACGCGAGATTGGCTGTTGAGGGTCACCAACCCAATGGAAAGTTTGAGCATCAATTTCAATAAAGACTTTATTTGCACAATGAGAAAGGTGGTGTGAGTGTGGTGGGGGGTCTGTCAAGGGAGGAGGGGAGAAAAAGAAACAAAATGGGTTTAAGGAACATAGCAAAAGCATTTAACCACCGTAGAGCTGTGAGGCCAGGGTTTAGTCCCACAGGCGCTAAGCGGCAAATGGGTTCAATTACGGCTATTGCTGGCCACACACACACGACTTCCACTGCTATTTCAATAAAGGGAACACCGCAGAGGAACCAAACAGGAGGAAAAATGAAAAAGACAGCAAAATGAGCAGAGGAAAAAAAGAAAAGAAAATCTCTCAATAATTCACACCAGATGATGCAACGTTCGTCATCGCCTTGGATGTGTTTTAACTTTATTCCAGAACTTTGGGTAAATATAAAAAAAAGGAAAAGGGTGCTAAACAAAAATTTGAAAAGACAGAGAGTCGGAAACATGTAATTAAAAAAGGTATTTTAAATGCAAATCAGAGTCAACACACAAAAACTGTGGTTTGTGTTTTTTTTGTATTTTAAGGATGAGAAAGTTTGTGGGTTTGCATCCCGACAAAAAACAAAACTGGAAGGGACAAAATCAAAAGGTTTAAACAAAAACATGTTTCCAACTGAATGTTGTTATATTAAAAAGAAAAACATCCTTTGTATTTTATCTTTGTCATTAGTTCCTTTGCCAGACAAGAGAAAGAGAAGATTTGAAAACATAAGTCCCAAAACTAACTCCATAAAGTATTCATAAATAACCACAACAGAGTGCTGTCTAGCACAAGTGGTCTCCAATACAAACCAAACGAGTGAAAGCAAACAAAGAAAGGAGGGAAAAAGAGTGAGGTAAATCACACACAGGGAGGAGGAACAGTGGTCGGAGCAGAAAGGGGGGGGCGGGGGGGAGATGCCGTGACATTTGTTTAATGTGCAGCCGGGAGAGCGGCGGGTGAAACCCACAATACCCCGTTCTCCACACCGAGCGGGCTCTTTCAGCTGCTCCACAATAACAACATCAACAACAGCAGCAGCAGCAGCTCAGTGAATGTTTGCACACCAGCAGTAGTGGCTTTTAACTTTAATAGCAGCGGCTATTTTCATAGAGCGGGAGATAGAGTGATGGTGAGAGACTGAATGAAGGAGTGAGTCCATGAGTGAGGTCACGGATCAGACTGTGTGTGTGTGTGTGTGTGTGTGTGTGTGTGTGTGCGCGTGCGTGTGCGTGTGCGTGTGTAGCCTGCCCTCTACCGCAAATCATTCCTACAAGGACAGCAAGTGTGAGTCTGCACTGAAGGCCAACAAAATCAAATACTTAAATCACAAATTATTATTTCTGAGTTCTTGATGTATTTACTTTAAAAGAGAGAAAAATACCCCAAAAGTAGTTCGACAACTACATTAAGTATAAGAAACCAGGACATGTGTCCAAACGGGAACATCACTGAAAAAGTAGACAATCTGGAGTGTGAAATAAATTAGATAAAATACAAATGCCTTTTTAATAAAAAATTAAATAAGCTCCAAGAAAAGTGACTAACGGCATCTGTAAGTGGGATAAAAGGGTTGAACGGCATCCACTCTAACAGAGGTTTCATATTCTCCTGTTGCCCTCTAGTGTTGCAGCAGCAGAGCAGCAGAGCAGCAGAGCAGCAGAGCAACAGGTTTGTGTTTAGGGAGTGTTAGTATTTATAGTG